TATATATATATATATATATATATATATATATGTATTACATGTATAGTTATATGTATTAGTTACATGCATACATACATCATTCTGCTGTTAAGTTTTAATAATTAACCTATTTTTGTCATTTCACTATGTACAGTGGTATAACGAAGATATTCAGAAAAACAAAATAAAATAACATAAGTCTGTCCCATAAGTGAGCAAAGCGAAAAGTGCTACAGGCTTGGCAAAAACTGCCCGTTGGGTGGATTTTTGTTAGTTATTGTAATTAAACATAAAACGATATGAATTGTTTAAAACACGGGACTCTAATGTTTACTGCTTTTTTTTTTAATCTGCTGATGTGCTTTTAAAACAATCCCTTTGTAAAACTGTGAATAAAGTATACATTTTTGTCATCTTTTGGAATATCCAAAAAGAAAAAAAATGGTAAAAACATAATTTTAGGGAAAAGCCAAACAAGCGGTCGTATTCTGGAGAGCCAAAGGTCCATGAACTTGTCGAGGGTTAAAAGGGGGAAGTAGGCCGTGATGGAAAAGTGACTGACAGACAAAAAAAATTTCTGACGAAAAGGCACGAGCTCCACGTTGACATGTCGGCGCTGTGAGAACAAGACAAGCAGGCGGCCATTGTGACCAGACTATAGAGACAAAAATGACGAGAGGAAGAATGTGTGCAGCAAGCTTGGAAGTGGTGGGTTGTTGCTGAGCAAACGCAGCGGTTTGAATTGTTTACCTTAATAAAGATCTCAAATGTAAACATACTAGTGAAGACATAGTCTGCATAGCCTAGGATCTGAGGAAGCAATCAGAGTGACATAAGCGCGCAGGGTTACTACAGCTCTACTCAGCACAGCACAACACAGCACGCAAAGGACATTTACCTTCAACAGGATCTCAACAGTAAAGATTGCGGTGAAAGCATAGTCAAAATAACCAAGTATCTGAAAAAGGCAATGCACAAGTTCAAGTCATTCCAAGACAACAACACAGTGAGAGATTTATTAAATACTTTTAGTTGTAATTACTGCAAAGTTTAAACACAGATGAAACAGATACTAGTGTAGCCAAGCACTAAGTAGGTTATACTTTAACTGACCAATCACTCGTTAGTGCGCAGTCTCAAATAAATTCTTGTTTGTTAAGAAAAGGTGATGTTCCCTCTCTGAAATTCTGAATGCAAACAAAGCTGGGCCATTGTCTCTTTTTAGTGTTGGAAGAAGCCATGTTGTGCCTGCAATCGGCACTGGTACAGAATGAACACAAACAGACTATTTAAAACTCCTTACAGTGACATGCTGTAGCTGCAGACACAAAGGGGAGCCTGCTGAACTATCTGCTTCTAAAGTCTGCACTGAAAAAGTATGTAATCACAGCTCGTGGGCAATTTAACACGATGATACAATCATGTGGAAAAGAAATTTTTGATGGGACTCCATGCAGACCTCTGAAAAACTAAGTACACACTTTCATTCAGTAACTTGTTGAACCACCTTTACTGCAATAACTTGAAGTAACTGCTTCCTGTATGACTGGATTATCAGTCTGTCACATCACCATGAGGAATAATTTTGTTCTGCTCTACATCACTACATCACTGCTCCAGTTTCTTGAGGTTTGATGCACAGCTCTCTTAAGGTCCCGGCACAACATTTAAATTAAAATGAGGCCTGGACTTGGGTCATCACAGCACTTTGATTCGCTTCTTTTGCAGGCATTCTGTTATAGATCTGCTGCTGTGCTTTGATCGCCGTCCTGTTGCATGACCCAATCTCGACAAAGCTTTAGCTGACAGATGTCACATTTGACTCTAGAATACTTTGGTCAAAACAAAACAATGGTCCAAAACAATGCGTTATGAGGTGTTTCTGATATTATTCTATGTTTCGTCTTTGCCAAGTGTGGTGCTGTGCATAGAGGCCAATCGTCTCCATTTTGGACTTATCTGTCCAAATGAGAGTGTTCCAGAAATCTTGTGGTTTGTTCAGATGGAGCTTTGCAAACCAAAGCTGTGTTGCCAGGTTCTTTTCAGAAAAGTTTTCTCCTGGTAACCTTTCCAAATAAGCCGTACCTGTTCGGTCTTTTTCTAATTGTGCTGTCATGAACTTTAACATTTAACATGCTACCTGAGGCCTGTAGAGATTTTGTGTAGTTTCTCTGAGCATGCTCAGTTTGAATTTAGGGAGAATCTGCTGAAACGTTCACCCCTGGCAAGACTATGGGATTGTGTTTAGACACATTTGATTGCTTCAGACCAGAAAACTTCAGCTTTTATAGAGGCGCTCACACTTGCTAATGTACAGTTAATCAAGTGCATTTGATTAGCAGCATCTTGCTGCTACTTACCCTCTTAATTCCTATGTAAGCAGTAAGGCTGTACTTAGTTTTTCAGGTAAACAAGAGTCCTCTAAAAACTTTATTTTTTACCCAACTGCATTTAATTTCAGAGCAAAAAATTCCTCAAATTTAAGACATTTTGAATTATCTTTTAAGAATATCTTATGAATTGTGTGAGAAACAGACAAGGTTAAATAACATAATAACATAATAATAAATAGCAGTAGTTGTAAAAACTTTTAGAATTATTGTTATTGCCAAATCAGTCATTTCATATGTCACTTGTTATTTTTTAAGGAAAATTTTAGATTTGTTAAAATATGTGTTTTACTTATAACTTTAATGATGGGTGTTTAATGCACATTTTCAACACCAGGACCTTAAAATGGAACGTAGTAAATGAAATGTGGTAATACATAATTTACAAAATTACAGCTGGACTCCGACTGTGACGTGTAAAAAAGTGAAACAGTTTCCAGACTCATTGGTTGTTTACATACGATATTGCGAGCAGAGAAGTTGCGGATGGGGTCTTCGGCAGCCAGCGAGACAGAGCTGAGCATGATGAAGACCAGGATGAGGTTGGTGAAGATCTGATGGTTGATCAGCTTATGGCAGAATACACGAAACCTACAAAAAGAGAGTAGAAAGCAGTAAAGAGAGGGACTGCTTGAACTCTTTTAGTGTCTACAAATACATCTGTCACACTGAGCAGTTAGACTGGTTAATGCTCCTATGTGTTGATATGTCTGATATATGAGGCTCACGGATTTGTGCTGCTGAAAATGAAGAAGGCGCTGCCTTCGGGGATGGGTGGAATCTTTTCTTTGATGGTGAGTTCAGAAAGTCGCTGAGGCCGAGGCCCAGACGGGACTTCTGGGAGCTCGTCATTGTCGGTACCATCATCACACACTGGAAAATATTAAAACAGTCCTTCTGATATGATCCTAGCATGAAAATCCTCAAATTTAAATGGGTGCCAATGTTTTGTTTTAGTCAAATTTTTAAATGTTTCTTTTAATTATTGCGCATTTTGCTATTTTTTCATTGACTATACAATTTATTGCCATGCCTTACGAAGAATTTCAGTTAAAAGATCACTTAAAATTCACATACAAGATTATTTTTAACTGTAAATCCCAGCATACAGAAGATACACTTATGAACTGAAGATTCAAAATCCGGCATTCAACATATAATATATCTACTGCACAATAATATATGTACAAAAATACAGTGTTTATTTAATTGCTTTGATTAACAAATCACCCATCCACTAACTGCTGTGTTGTGTTTGACTTCAAAGTGCTCACAGTGTTAGTTTCCCATGATTCAATTCCCTTATACTGCAAGTAGGTGTTGCCAGCAAACGTCTCTTTTTTCTTCAATGTGTGTGTATATATATATATATATATATATATATATATGTATTACATGTATAGTTATATGTATTAGTTACATGCATACATACATCATTCTGCTGTTAAGTTTTAATAATTAACCTATTTTTGTCATTTCACTATGTACAGTGGTATAACGAAGATATTCAGAAAAACAAAATAAAATAACATAAGTCTGTCCCATAAGTGAGCAAAGCGAAAAGTGCTACAGGCTTGGCAAAAACTGCCCGTTGGGTGGATTTTTGTTAGTTATTGTAATTAAACATAAAACGATATGAATTGTTTAAAACACGGGACTCTAATGTTTACTGCTTTTTTTTTTAATCTGCTGATGTGCTTTTAAAACAATCCCTTTGTAAAACTGTGAATAAAGTATACATTTTTGTCATCTTTTGGAATATCCAAAAAGAAAAAAAATGGTAAAAACATAATTTTAGGGAAAAGCCAAACAAGCGGTCGTATTCTGGAGAGCCAAAGGTCCATGAACTTGTCGAGGGTTAAAAGGGGGAAGTAGGCCGTGATGGAAAAGTGACTGACAGACAAAAAAAATTTCTGACGAAAAGGCACGAGCTCCACGTTGACATGTCGGCGCTGTGAGAACAAGACAAGCAGGCGGCCATTGTGACCAGACTATAGAGACAAAAATGACGAGAGGAAGAATGTGTGCAGCAAGCTTGGAAGTGGTGGGTTGTTGCTGAGCAAACGCAGCGGTTTGAATTGTTTACCTTAATAAAGATCTCAAATGTAAACATACTAGTGAAGACATAGTCTGCATAGCCTAGGATCTGAGGAAGCAATCAGAGTGACATAAGCGCGCAGGGTTACTACAGCTCTACTCAGCACAGCACAACACAGCACGCAAAGGACATTTACCTTCAACAGGATCTCAACAGTAAAGATTGCGGTGAAAGCATAGTCAAAATAACCAAGTATCTGAAAAAGGCAATGCACAAGTTCAAGTCATTCCAAGACAACAACACAGTGAGAGATTTATTAAATACTTTTAGTTGTAATTACTGCAAAGTTTAAACACAGATGAAACAGATACTAGTGTAGCCAAGCACTAAGTAGGTTATACTTTAACTGACCAATCACTCGTTAGTGCGCAGTCTCAAATAAATTCTTGTTTGTTAAGAAAAGGTGATGTTCCCTCTCTGAAATTCTGAATGCAAACAAAGCTGGGCCATTGTCTCTTTTTAGTGTTGGAAGAAGCCATGTTGTGCCTGCAATCGGCACTGGTACAGAATGAACACAAACAGACTATTTAAAACTCCTTACAGTGACATGCTGTAGCTGCAGACACAAAGGGGAGCCTGCTGAACTATCTGCTTCTAAAGTCTGCACTGAAAAAGTATGTAATCACAGCTCGTGGGCAATTTAACACGATGATACAATCATGTGGAAAAGAAATTTTTGATGGGACTCCATGCAGACCTCTGAAAAACTAAGTACACACTTTCATTCAGTAACTTGTTGAACCACCTTTACTGCA